TGGAAAGTCAACAAGCACGACCAATGATCACTTATTAGTTCTTTTCATTGTCTTTTATCGTGATTTTCAATTTTTCGTTTGCAATTTTTTTTACATTTTCTTGCGTTACTTAACTGACTTATTTCTTTTTTTTGCAGGAACTTTTGGTTCTTTCCACCCTTGAAGTTGATTGCAGAATTTTAGCTTGGGGGTCATCGCTTGATTTTACTGCAAATTAGGGAAGTTTTCAGTCCAATTGCTTTATTTTGTTTCTTATTATTTATTTATTTTATTTTTATTTGCATTATAGTGTTTTCTGACATTGGGGACAATGTCCAGTTTAAGTTTGGGGGTAAAGAGTATAAAAAATGACCCAATTGAAATTTTTTTTGTACCTTCAACTACGAACGAGTTTCATTTGTTTCCATGTTGTTGCTTTTTGTTTTCTTAATTAGTTTTGTTTTCTTTTAAAAAAAAAATTGTTTTGAAAAAGCCAAAAAGAGTTATTTTTGTGTGTTTGTTTGTGTCTTAGGGTACCTTCCAACACAATAATGAGGATTTGGTTTTTAATTGCATGACTGTTAAAGAAAAGTTATAAACATGGATGGAAGTTTGATATGCTCTTGATTTATGCTTGGTTATAGTTATAGTTTACGAATTCACATGTAATCACGAAGAAAAAAAAATCAGTTTTTGTAACATGCTTGAAGGAAGGAACTCAAACTAACACTACAACCCTGAGAGACTTGAGCCTAATACGTTCTTTGGAGAGTTATTAATCTGTGCATTTTTGTTGTCTAAAGTCGTTGCATGATCTCATCATTCTTTGCTTGGTTGCTACTTAGAAGGCGTTTCATCATTTAGTTCCAAATACTAGAACTTATGCCCGTTCCATTCAAAGCATGACATTGATTTGCATAACACATATTCAAGATGAAAGTTGTGTAGTGAACTAGAGCCAAAAAGCCTATCTCGTGCATATTTGTTTAAGTTTAACCCCGTTGAGCCTTGTTTAGCCTATTTTCTTTATTAACCCACATTACCCTTACCTAGCCTAGATTAGGACTATCCATACCCTTGTTTTTAAAGCGTAATGAAGCATGACTTAAAATGAATTCCTTTTGATTGTCCTTATGCAGAAAACAAGTGTGGGGGAATAAGATTTTTGTGTGTTGAGTGCCAAAAGAAAGTAATAAGGCACGGGTTAGAAAAAGAAAAAGTGTTGAAAAGAAAAGAAAAAGAGTTTGAAATAAGTGAGGAAAGGCTCACAAGTGTTGTTTGTTGTAGAAAGGGTCCAAAAGTTGAAATCGGCCCTAAAAAGTTGAATGAATAACCCCATTGTGTTTAAAGTTAGTTGCTGCATTCAAAGGGAATTCTAAGCATCAATTTCATTACTTTGCTTATTATGCTTTACAAACGTTTGTTTCCTTACCTTTCATTGTTAGCCAATCACCCCTAACCCCGTTACAACCCTTAACTTCAATCTTGAGTGTTATGTGTTTCAATATGTGGAGTTTGGGATTGGTATGAGCATATATGGTGTCACTGGTTCTCGCATCTAAGTAGTAGCATTCCAGTCATGAGATCATATCTATACATGCTTAATAACTCCAGAAATTGCTTTCTTTGCTATAAACATATGTGAGTGTTCGTTTTCATGTTTACATCAATCTTCTCACATACATCTAGTGTAGGGTAAGTAGTCAGAAAATCAGAGTGAAAATAAGAGTGTATCTTGTAAGGAATTGAGCAAATTCTCTAAGGTATGTTACTACATTCAAAACATCGTTTTAATTGGTTATATGTGAACTAGTATGTGGTGACTATGATTAAGTATGTGCTCAAGGGTAGGGAAGGCAAAAAATCTGTGGTTATGATGATCTTTTGCATGTCATGTTGCATTGAAAATCCCTAAGGTAAATGTTGGAAGGTTTAGGTTTTGTTTTGTTCTTATGTTTTGTTTCTTTGTTTTGCTCGAGGACTAGCAAAAGCTAAGTGTGGGGGAATTTGATAGGAGCATATTTATGCGACTTAGTATGTTTGTTTTCGTGCATGCATTTATGTTCTTAGTTCTTAGTTATGTTAGTAGTTTAAGCCATTTTCGTGTGTTTATAGGTTCTATGGGCCAAGGATGCAAGAAGATGCATTTTGGAGCATTTTGGAGCATTTTTGGGCCAAGATTGGATGGTGCAAACATGGAGACATGAGGATGGACGAATTTGATGATTCAAAGGGCTAGAAATCTGCATGTGTGTGTGCAAAGTGTTGGCCTACAACTTCAAACATCATAGCTGCCATGTGATGGCAGAAAATGTGTTTATTGCTAGCTAAATGGATGAAGAACATGTTTGTGTGCAAGTATAAAACACCACACATGGGCAGCAAGAAGGAAAGAAAAACAGCAACACACACACCACATGGGCAGCAAGGAATCAGAAATTAAAGCATGGAAGAGTGGGAAGTGATGAGGACAACACAAACACACACACACATGCACACTCACGACAAGAAGAATGGAATCAGCAAAGGGGAGTGAATGGACAGCAGAAAAGCAAAGAAATTGGACCACTATGAAGTGGATTTCTTGTTGGTCTTCCACTTATAGCTTTGGGTGGCTTTGGCATGATTATTTCTAGGTGGAAAGAGCACAAAGACAGCTCACACACATGCAAAACAAAGCTGGCAGCATCCTTCCCTTCCCTTGCCGTGAGATTCTTGTGTCCATTACCTTGCAATTCTTTTCATTTCCAACCTCTATATAAGCACCATTTAGCCTTCAAGGAAGAGACACAGAAATTCATACACATTTACATTAGTTCCAAGGCTTGCAAAGAAGGAGGAGTGCTTGGAGTTGTGCTAGCCATTCCATTGGAGTTGTTGGAGCATTCTAGGTGTATTCTACTTTGTTTTTCTATGTTTAATATCAATTGTTTTTGTTTAATTGCAAGTATGAGGAACTAATCCCCTACTTAGCTAGGGGGAAGTTCAAAGCCATGAATATATTTGTAATATGAATTGATTACCTTCAGTTGTGATTTCTGAGTTGTGATTTAATTTGCTTAACTGCTTGATTGATAACTAATTTGTGTATGTTGGTTGAGAGTGCACGCTTAATTTTCATGCATGAATTTGATGCTAGAATATAAGGGAGTTTCACCTAATCGTTATGAACTTATATTCACAAGTAGTGAAGGTTGTTATCCACAATCGTGTTAAGTGAATTCTAGGCTGGATTAACATGCGTATTCCATAGTTATGAATGCCTAGTCAATGTTTATGATTTCCGTTGAACTTAATGATCTTTGTTGAATGTCTCTATCATCATGCGTATTCCATAGTTAGGGATTTTGATGAGGAATAATTTGGTTGTAATGCGTATTCCATTCATCAATCCAATGAATCTAGGGAAATCTAAGAGTTAATTTAAGCGGACCTAATTAACTCGGAACATTGAGATTTACAATTTATTGAAAGAACAACTGAAAATCAATTTAGGTTGCATATGTGTCATGTGTGGAGAAGAACCCTCTAGCTAGTCCGTCACCTATCCTTTCACCTTAATTTCATGCTTTTGTCAATTCTGTAATTTATTTAAGTTTAATTTACTTCTCGTCAAAACCAAACCCCCCCATTATTAAATTATATTATTTAGTTAGTTTTCATTGTTGTTAGTCTTTTAATTCAATTTCCGTCCATTTCAGTTTCTAGTGTCTAATTTGATTGTTTTCATTATTTTGAGTCATTCTAAGTGTGTTTCGAGTTATTAGAGTTTTTAGCCTAGTTTTGTGTCCTTGAGTCTTGTTTAATATTTTTAAATTAATTTAGAATAGATTAGCAATCCCTCCTAATCCCCGGCCTAGAACGATACCCTACTTACATCTATACTACAATTGTCAAAAAGAGGGTTTAATTTTGTGTGTCAAGTAATTCTCACATCATCTCCCTCCACCACACCGTTGTCACCACATGCGACCTAGTAACGCACCACTAGTCGATCAGCTACTTTTTTCTCTGATTCTCTTTCTCTGGATCAAGCAAACCTCGAGCCTTGATCGAGGTAATTGTTGATTCTTTCGAATTACTTCCAAAATATAGGGTTTTGCTTCAAATTAGTTTTCGAATTAAGATTGGTTTCATTTCTTTAATTTGGGGTTTTTTGTTTTTAGGGTTTTTGAAAATTGGGGTTTTTCGTTTTGAATTAGTTTTCGAAGTAATATTTATGTGGCAGTGTAGTATGTGCAAATTTAGAAGAAATAAAAATATTTTTCTTAACGGGTCGGTCATTTTACCTATTGGGTAAAATGACCCGACTTGTTAAGAATTCGTTAAGATGATATGTGTGACACAACACGACCCGTTAAGATACGAGGTGTTACATGAAAACGACACGAACACGGCAAACACGACCCGTTTCTCAAGCCTAACGAGGGGGTGGGTTTAGCCTCACAATGAGCTAGCAATAATGTGATTCAAATTTGCCTTTGGCAAGAATCAAACCTAAGACATCTCACTTACAAATGAAGAGAATACCACTAGCCCGTAGTACTAGTGGCTAGTGTAAAATAAGTAAAACTAAAATTCCTTCAAAAACTTAACCTTAAAATGAGAGTTCCACCCTTAAAATGAGAGTTCCACCTTTTTTTATTAAAAAATAATGAAAGGACCTGACATGATTATTTCAATTAAAAATTTACTTGCTTGTAGACCCAAGCATATCTAAAATGATTATAAGGCCTCGTTTGTTAGAGAGAATTGACTTGGATAAGAATATTCATTATATTAAGGGCATTTTAATCCTACCATTTTTGTGGAAGGTAGTCGAGATATCATTTCTTCCATCAAAATGCCTTCAATATAGTGAATAGTCCTACCGAACGCAACCTTAATGTAGCTCCCTTTGCATCCAAGTCTCTCACTTTAGCGCTCTTAATAAAGGAATGACTTGACTCCTACTCCCTCGTAAAATTGGACAATGATCTGGCATACTATAGAAAACAAATCTGGCCTTTAGGGCGGAACTCTATGAAACATGAAACTCCATCGTATACAACATAAGAGAGAATTAGGACCAAATACAAGGGAATCTTGTGTGTGTGTGTGTGGCACGTGGCCCGAGCTGGCATACGCTAGAATTTGCCCATAGGAAGATAATACATCAAGACTAGAATAATATCTACCAACCCCATTTTCGTTTCGTATACATTTCTAGTGCCAATAACAGCTCCCTAAAGTAACGGTGATGCCAAATTGGCATTCTAGCGAAAGCTCGTGGAAAAGAAGTGGACACCAAGAAGTGTCAAGGTTTTCAGAAGGTATTCAACATCTTCACTACTAAAACTACCCACCCAAGCTACAAAAAGTCTGTAATATCTCAAACAGAACCAAAAATTATTTGAACCTCAAATTCTTTCAGAAAAATTCCAGCTATTACTAGTCATTCAGGGAAAATGTCCTAAAATGATCACAGGGCACAACGTAACTTCTCTCGACCTGCACTTTAGACCCCTCGAGTGTAGCGCCCTGCTTTGTCCACGAAAATAACGCGTTGATCCACCATCTGCAAGTAGTTCTAGTAGTGTCAAGAAACATCCCCGGACTGAAGTGAGAGAAAAGAACCAATGCAGTCTTACCTTCCCATTCATGTTCGTCAGAGCGTTCTGGGCCTCCTCTTCTCCTTCAAAGGTCACATATCCAAATCCTTTTGACTTGTTTGTAGTTGCATTTCGCAATATGTGAACTGAAAAGGAATAACGATAGCAGGATGTTTGAAATTTGCAGCTTATTAATATAGAAAATTATGCCTAAGCTTGTATCGACAGGATTAGGGCATTACCATGAACGACCTTTCCAAATGGCGAAAATGCTTCAGTTAATGATTTTTCAGTGGTGGCAAATGATATACCTAATGAGATACAACCCTTGATTAACACAAGTAGGATAAAAATGTCCGTGTCAAACAATATAACTACGGAGATGCACAAAACAGCAACAGTGTTGATCATATAAGTCACTCACAACCATGAAACCTGCCCTACCCTTCACGTAGCGTAGAAGCTCGTGTGGATGCCAAATACCCGAGTACTATGCTTGTTTCGAAAGGTAAGGCCGAAGAAGGAGTTTAACAATTCATAATAATGCATTCCCGAGTTCAAATTGTGAACTTTATGACGACTTGAAATAAACCATGCTCATATATTTAAGCTTCCATTCCATCAAAGAGAGATTTCCATTTCATTTTCCAGTAAAAATAGCTCCTCCATTCCAAGCATTTCCGAAATCCGTTGGTTTTCGAAAAATCTAATACCAAGTAATGAGTTTACAAACCCTAAATCCGATTACGCGAAATAAACACAAACCATAGAAATCCTTGTTCATTGAGACAATACTAGTAGTAAAAAAGAAATTACAAACAGGCAATTTGTTGAACCCAAAAAGGAGATTCACAGAGGCAATTCAACAAACAGCTAATCTGCAAATGGGTCTACACAGAGAAATCAAAAATCAAATCTTTTTCATTGGACATAGCTGTCTGAAATGATTGAAACGTCTCAGTGGAGAGAGAGAGAGAGAGAGAAAGAGAGAGAGAACCTTTGACGAAAAGCTTGGAAGAAAATCCCCTCGAGAAGAGAAAGTGGGCAGGAGAGATATAGGAGTTGGAATGTGAGGCGTTCCTGAGAAAGCTATTGGACATTCGGCCTCCTAACGAAGCCGCCATTTCTTTCAAGAAGAGAGAGAGAGAGAGAGAGAGAGAGAGAGATTTGGTTTTCTTGTTGCGCGGTGCGTGCGTGTCGGCGACACGCTCGTCTCACCAAAATTTGGCTACGATAAATCCAATGGGAGAAACACCTCAAGTCTAACGAGAAAAGGTGTCTGATCAAAATTTGGGTACGTATATAATTCGAATTCACATAAATATAGTTATAATTACTTAGCTAATAAAGCTTTATCACCGTTCATAGAAGAATCTTCTTCGTAGCACAGCATCATCGATTCCTCTTTTTAAGTTTAGAAACACACTTCGAGCTGATAACATGTTGTAGTAAATAATATTAGAGAGAGAGAGAGACAGAGAAGAAAATGACAACATAGAGATGGGAGAAGGGGCTTAGTTGTCTAGCTTGATTGATTTCCTCTTGGCCTTGTGCCTTTATTAATATTAATCATAACGGGCTTTACTTTCCTCCAGGTAATACAAATTACATAAAAAAAAGATGTTCTAGATCCTATAAGATTCTTTCCTCCAAGTAATACAAATTACATAAAAAAAAAGATCTTCTAGATCCTATAAGATTCTTACTTCTAGTTTACACCATTCCCGTAATAATACTAACTGCAACAATAAACAATTTTTCAAGGGTAGTTTTCTATTTCAAGCTCAAGATTCCTAGACGTTTAGGGATCATAATCACTATTGCGTAGAAGTCTACAATTTGTGACTATAGAGTTGTTTGCACAATCTTTAATCAGCGAAATTCTTATGTTAATGTCACACCGTAGACCCAAGGTCAGTGAAAAAATTAATCCGCGCCCGGTGTTTGAATACAAGTAAAAAAGAAAAGTATTCAGAAATTGGTTAAAAATAAATTCTCTTATACAAATAACACTAAAAGCCTTACAATTTCCAAATAAATTCTGTGTGTAATACATTTATTCTTTGGATAACCCAACATTGAAGTTCTCATGCTCCATGAAAATTTCCAAGTAATCCCACTTAAATTGTATACATACGCATTGCAAATATTCACATGAACTCAAACATGCTTGACTTGAAAGTAGATAAAGATAATTAGAAATAGAGAAAAACTCTTGATAGTTCATGATTTTCATTTATTTTGAAAATAAGAAGATTGTGAACACATTACATAAATTACTCATCTCGATCGATAGCGAGAACCTCGACCAAAAAAGCTCACTAACGATCTCCACATATCGAGCAATCCATCCCTAAGCCCTCTTTCTCTATCTTCTTCTTCAAAATAAAAGTGAAAGAAAAGAGATGAGAATGAGGAGGCAACAAATAGTCATCGGAGGGGCTTGGCGGCTAACCTGAGACGAGAATGAAAATGGCATGGATAAATTTGCAGTAATGGCTGCTAGATTGACTCAATATTGTCTTTGTATGGAACGAGCAGAGATGAGATTAGTAAGTGGCTACCAGGTGGAAATACAGGTTTTCGTAGCGTGCGGGCATGAATTCTTGTAGGTACTTGACTCAAGGGGACATGAAGTAGCGAAAATACACTAAAACAATGGTTCATGTTTTTGATAACATTTATAACTAAAAATTGACGAGGCAGTACATCCACATTTGAGTCGTTAGTCGTAACTGCGGACACACCCAACAGTCTGAGATGATGTTTATGCAATTTACCCGACAAACTCGCCCATCTACATACATTCAAGTACAAAACCATTTGCCAATGCCTTAACTCAAACTCCATCTGCAATTTGCATTTAATTGTTTTTGTTGGTCTAATGTGCTGTTTTTGTTAATTTGATCATTCATTTTAAAGTATGTTCAGAAACTTTTGTTCAAAAAAATAAAAATAAATAAATAAATAAATGAAAAAAAAAAAGAAAAAAAACTCTGGAAACTAACAAATAAAAACGGAGTTGGTCTTTATAATATTTTTAGCTCTTGTAATAAGCTCATTAATTTTAAACAATCACATTAATTATCATTCTAGACACTGCCTTTCAAACTCACAAGACTTTCAAACGCTCACTGCTTTATTTTGCAGCTGATTATTCTTAAAGTAGAGCAGAAGCAGTTTATTAAAGAAGCACATCAATCTCAAACTAAGTGCTAATAACAGTTTCCATGGACAACACATCCTTGGCAGTCGATAGATCCGTATATGAAAGTCTGAAGGTTGACGGGCACTTAACAGTCCGCAACTAGCACATTTCAATATGGATTTAATATTCACTTGCTCGGGCAAAGGGGGTGTTTAGGGGAGTAAGATTACTCAGAATACAAGGGTCTTTACTCGCGCATCAAATAAAGACTAGACAAACATTCAAAACTACATGGCACAGACAAATTTAAAACTCAACATACCCCTATATCGAACTTCCCCTCTCATGAGAATGAGAATCGAAATCCTATACATCATACGCACGCGTTTTAAACAAGGCACACAATGAACAAAACACAAACCAGCTTCTAGCCTGTGCTGCTTCCTGTAGGTGTTCAGTGGCCTGCGTTAACATGCTGACAGTAAAGCTTTTCCGAAAAGGTTACGAGTGGTGTGCCTTCTGGAGTGCTCCGTATACCATGTCGATGAATTGATTATCCTACAACACATGCAAAGCTCGTAATCAAACTATGAACAAGGTTAATGATACTCATAATCACGAGGAACCGCAAGATTACTCAGCGGTTACTTCAGTCTACAACTCTAGATAATTGACTCAGTACCCAGGACCAATATAATTCAAAAAATTCAAAGTTGTAATGCAAACGGATGTGTCTCCTGGGAAAAAGGCATCAGGAGATATAAATCTAGCTATCGGTTCCTTGATATATCCTATAATTACAATCAGCTCCTAATATTTATCGATCATAAAACTACAAAGCGTTCGTGATGCATTTTTAAACACTTGCCACAATTTGTGTGAACGAATTTTGAACATTACTGCAAACATGAAATCTTATTCAACTGAAAAAAAAAAGAGTGCAATTATATATCTACATAACGATGTTCCGGAAAGACTAACCTGTACAAGCAGCATGAGTGCATTTCGTACTTTCTCTCTATTAAGTGGCCCATAGTTAGGAGGGAAAGAAGCAGCTGTGAGAGATGGTGGAGGGGCTGGCGGTGGAAAAGGTTGTAACAAAGGAGCACCATATGGACGTTGCACACTTACAGCAGGGTGAAGAAGAGAAGCAGCACGGCTTGATGCAGTGACAGCTGGCATCGTTGTTGCTGAAGAGGAAGGATGAACAAAAAAAGATGGCTTTACAAGATTACTGGCCAAGTTGGTGGTGTTATGGGATTCAGGGAGGTCAACGAAAGGGGATAAAGTTGTCGATGATAGCAGTGGAGCACATGGAATTTGCATGCCAGGAATACTTGAAGGTGCAACACCGAATGGATGAGAAGGTAGATAGGTTGTCGAAGATGATTGGTAAGGCTGTCCGGTAATTGCTGTAGTTGAAGAATTCATGATAGTCATAGCCGTCTGCAATTAATGTTAGGAAAAATGAATAAGATGTTCCATCGGTCCTAAAATTATATCCATCAGTACGTTCACTCCAATATATATACACATGCAGGGATGACACTATGCATGAACATAAAATAATCTGCTCCAGAGAAAGGACAAGAGTCAAAAGACCCAATCCTAGATCTCCGAGCTGTATACGGACTCGTGCTTGTGTTAAGGCATGCATATGTAGGCATCCATTGACCAAGTACATGTTTCCTTGAAATGAGCATAAAACACAGTGCAAACAGGCACATTTAGGAGGTACTCCATTGGCAATTTTATTTATTATTATCTTAAAGAACGAGAACCAACAATCCCACATTAACTATTCATTACTGAATGTGAGAATATACCAATATTAGCATTAAATGCTGAAATTGTTAGAAAATTGAAACATTTTGATTCTACTGCTGCATAGAGCAACCAAAATTCCTCAATCAATGTCACAAAATTAGAAACTTATGAAACCCTAGACAGTTAATACTATAAACTTGGAAAGCCATGTTAGAATCATCCCAGAATCCACATGGTATGACTAGAAAGTCACAAAGTTAAAGTACATCAAACCAGGCACGCAAATGGTGCGTAGCTACACTTTTTCCATGGCTACATCACTTGTGTGCTTAAAGAATCCTGGATTATGACCCTGATAGTGCCTAAGCTTTTCACACTAAGCAAGTAAACTAGCTCCATCAAGAGGAAGAGAACATACACTGAAGAAGTTCACAAAAGCCGGATCATCCGGAATGTCTGTGACATGAGAGGCAGTTGATGACGATGGCTCCAAAGGACCATCCATAATAACCATGCTTGGGACTGCTTCCAGTTCCTCAAACTCACTACAAAAGAATACATCCTTCCTTCAGTTGTTATCATAACCAAATTGACTAGAATTTCTACAAAATTGCACAACTGAACATTTGAAATCTTATTGAACATAAACGCATAATATCTTATACTATTGTCTTGACACCAGAATATTAATAAATATTCCAAGACTTTTACAACCCTAAAGTTTGCAAGCTCAGCAATATACAAAAAGAAAATATCGCCCTTAAAAAGTGATCAATAATACAAAGCTAGAAGTTTATATACTATTGTCAACAAGGAAAAACATTGTAATACCAGAGTTCAGAAGTAAGGGAAGAACTACATTGGTGCTAAGTAGGGATAAAATGAATGAATATTACCTCTTTGTTGGTGATACCATTGAGTTTTGAGGTACCTTGGAATATGCACTAAGAATCCTGGAGACACATAAATAAAGATAGAACAGATTTAAAAACAAAGCAAATAAGAATAATATACACTTTGGGAGATTCTCCCCTTTGCCTTTTAACTTTTATATAAATAAGAAGGATAAATAAAATGCAATTCAATCAGGATCCCAGCAAACAGTTGCAATAATAACATCCATAGGACCTGTCATGTAAGAAACCAATATTTAAAACACTAACAAATGCGTTTCCGGAACTTCAGTTTACCGATAAATTAAAGTTACGAGAAGTATATAAGAAAATAAACACTCGAAAGAGTGGTATGCAAAACTATGGCGCTACTATGTCACGATAACCTTAAATTTTCTCTCACCATGAGGTATGTTACTTGCATTTAAAGTTTTAAACTAATTCCATGAATGTACAAGATAAGTTCCACTGTATCTTTGCACAAAAACTAGACATCATTATTTACCTCCAACAGAGTGAAACTATTAAAGGGTGATTCCCTGGAAGGGTTTTTTCTGCACAACCTATTCAAACAGTGACTGATAACATAGTAAAATACACAGGTAAAAATATCAATTTCAGGAATGTATTAAGTTATTAACATGTGTTAAAGTTTAGAGCTATCTATTTTTCTTCCTGGTCTTACAAAAGAAATCCAATATAAATTTTGGATAGTACGTTATTGAAGTACTTTTAAGATCTTCAGATATTTAATTGTTATGCACTGTCCACATAATGCCTTATTGTAATAGGAAATCCATTCACTGCCATACAAAGTTGTTGATTGTGTCAATCAAAAATAGCACAAAGATAATAATTTTTCAATCAACTTAAACTGCAAGAAGACAATACCTGTTAAACATATTTGCCACCTCCTCACATTCACTTGGATTGTAGAACCAAATACCATTGACCTCTCGAGCCGCATTTCGATACAATAGATATGGATGTTGGACTTCGAATTCAAAATCTCCCAAGAGATCCTCCACCAAATTTTCTGCTTATGCAAACATACTGGATCATCTTAATATATAGAAATTTAGAAAATTAAACATAAAATGCATGCCATATAAAAATTAAAAGGAAAACATCATTAAACGTCCAAATAACGTGAGATATAGACTTTAAAAAAATATTAGAAAGGCTGATAACTAAATCAGAAGATTTTGAAACGTGAGATATAAACTTAAAAAGAAATACTAGAAAAGCTGATAACTAAATCAGAAGATTTGAAGCCTCGAGTCAATAAAATTTCATTTCTCAATCTCAAATAATTAGCCTATCATGTAGCACACTTTGCTGTGTGGAGCACAAAGATATTCACCATAGAGCGACAATAGAGCAAGCCAACATGCAGGATCAAATGCATAGGATTTAACACGAGGCAAAGAGAGGAATCAAATTAAAAGATAAATAGAACTCGGAAATGTGGTCCAGATTCCAGACTCCAGTAATGATTGGAGACTGGTTCTAATGATATTTGGTACCAGAGCAGGCCAAGCCAGCTTGTAAGAGAAGGACACCCGAGAGCTCATACGCTACTTCAACATATTTTCACTCTTCTAGCGTGAGACATTAAGCTTACTATCTAAGTTAAACCCTAAACCCTAAACTATCAGTACCATAGCAACTTTTCCGTTATTGAAGCCTATACAAAAGAGTCAAGTTCAGCTCGTAACATGAAAAATCTGATAAACCCCATTCTCAAATACCAATAAAACTTCCAATCCAAGACAACTACAAATGCAGCGAAACAACGCGGGTCAGGAATTAAAACACAATGCAAATGTACTGACCACTATTCCGCCGGTTCATCACAATGAACTGAAACCGAGGTTGCGCATTCCTGGGATAACAGCAACAAAATTAACCCCCAAAACCCAAATTGCAACAAAAAAAAAACCCAAATCTTACAACACAAAACCCACTAGAAATTTATCACAGTGATGTAAAATTACCTCTTGACCACGAAGAGCGATCCTTCGACGTCCTTGCGACTCTGAAATTTGAAAGAAGAAAAAAAAAACATATCAATTAGAACGAAAATTATGAAATTAGAATCGGATCATGAGTGGAATTAATGAGAAATAAGCAAAAAAGATGAAAATTTGTGGAATAAAAAAGAAAGATTACCCATTCGCTAAGGTCAGTGTTGAACTCGTAGAAGGTGACGTGAGTGGAGGTGATGAGAATTTCCTCGACGGAGGGGTCGATTCGCTGCAGAACCGTCAGATTCAGAAGCTTCGTGCTCTGCTGGTCCAGGTTCGGCGTCAATTTCCCGTTCTGGGACATTTTTTTCCGTCTTCGGTTTCTGCTCAGCCACCGCCGAAATTTGGGAGGAAGAAGCGGAATTTAAGGAAGGCGAAGGTCCAACTCGGATCATGAAACCTTCTTTCTCAAGCGACCCCGCGGCGCTGTTATTCACAATGACGAAACCGCCCCGGCATTCTTCCGAAGAAGTTCTAGAAGGGAAAGGGGTACTTTCGAGGTTTTGGGTTTATAATTTGTTTCTGGAAAGTTCCAAGCCCACTTCGCTGCCAAGCGCTGCTAACCCCCACGCTCTATTTTCCCGCCTTTGTAAGGAAATGTTAAAGACAGACTTGCCCTTTTGTTATTCGAAGGGAATTGATTTCAACGCAACATTTTCCCCACATGCACACCATATGCTTACTTCTCGCCATTTAGATCGAATGAAATATAGAAATTTAATTAACAAAAACAAAAACGATGTTCAAATAGAGAAAAAAAATGCGTCTAAAGCATCACATCTACCATCAAATTCACGTCAATAAATAACATTAAGAATTTAATTAACCATTCTGTATTTTGATAGAAAAATGAAAACCATTATGTTCAATTATAACTATAAAGACCACTAGTACTACGGTCTAGTAGTATTCCTCTTCACTGATTAGTGAAAGGTCTTAGGTTCAACTCTCGCCAAAGGCGACACCCCCCTCCCCTTAGTGTAGATAATATCGATTTGTTCAAAAGAAAAAAAAAATATAACTATAAAGAAGGAAAATGTATGTACTGTGATGTCTTCGGAATGAGTGTTGCTTGTATTGTATTCAAAGAGTGTTCCCGGATTAGTATGTTTGTGAGCGAAATTTCTCGTGACAGGTAAAAAATGATTGAAATTCTAGTTGTAGAGATTTAAAGTTGTTTGGACGATGTAATGTTAACCCGAGCGCATTCCTTCACTGCTGCTCACTTGTCGAAAAAGAGTGGTAAAATTTGTTTGATTTATTCAATATCATGGCAAAAAACAAAGACAAGTGCGTAGAAAGAACCTCAAAAACAAACTAGTAATTCCATTTTATTGATGGAACTTAGATTACATATTTAAGATTCACAGGCCTCCATTAAATAGGAATCATTTTCTTTACCAGCACTACAGCAATTTCAGCACAACTAAGCAAGCGTTCCTAAATTGGTTCGTACCAGGTCATTCGGTTGCCTTGCCTTTGCGCCGGCTACTGCTGCTAGTTTCCAACAAGTAACAAACCATGGAATCAACATCATCTCCGAATATGCTGTATGCCTCAATCACCTGCAGATAGCTGAACCCCATCGATAGCACAACTTGCATACTACTGCTAAGGGTCGAATCCTGAAATCCTTGCTCCCTCTCTTCAACTTTAGTCTCACTGCCTGATGATCCTGTTGTTCATATGAAATTCTCGTCACTAACACACTTCCCAAATTCACCAGTAGCATACAATTAATCAGAGCCTACGTGCAAATTCCACCCATGTACCCAAGAGTTGCCAAACTAAATCATCCAAAAATGCAGTTTAATACCTATAAATTGAGCCCACACTCAAACCAAAAATATTTTTTCTACCGAGTTCTGTACGAGAGAGAGGGAGGCGAGGGGAAGAAACAAAGGAACGGGAAACTCACTAGCTCCCGAAGATGACGGCTCAGCACTAGAAGTGGAAGATTCTCTACGTCCAAGTTGTTGCTTAAATGTGCCGTCTGCGTATTCAAGCCTCGAAGCTTCCATAACCATACGCTCAATTTCTTTCTCAGTAAGCTCCAGATCCGAGTAAAATCGCCCCTCAGCTAGAAGTGCCTGCAAATAGTAAAGATGAGAGGAAAAAGTGATCATGAAATTCCAGGTCAAGTATTTTTGAAAACCATAATGCACAAACATCAGGATACTTGCATTATCAATTTGTTGGTCCTGTTGAGCCTTAATAGCAGCCTTGACCTGATCCTTGTCAACATTTGACTACAGAAACGAAAAGATGAAACATCAGATTAAGTTGTTTAATCGAATTACTGTTGTACTTTTATGCATAAACGGAAGCGAATTATAACAAGTACCAATATCAACGTCGTAGGCGAAAGCTAAAACAACCAATCTCAAACTAACACGAGATTTACGTGGTTCGGCGTAAAGCCTACGTCCACTGGCAAAGCACTGAGAGGAATTTCACTAAACAAATAGAGATCACAAAGGAGTGTTTAAACTCTCACAACCCAAATCCCACAAATTACAAACCCTAAACCAAACGAGTAGAGAACCCAAAAGTAACGGAGAAGATTCTCCCAAATTGCTCTCTTAACTCACAAACTCACAAATTGACTCTCACCAAATTTGCCAAACGAATGAGCCATGAATTTGCCACACTCATGACTCCAAACGGTGACCTCCACCCAAAACCAAACCATGATGAGGCACACTAAATACACTAACCCTAAGGTCCTATTTATAGTGCATAGGACTTAGGTTACAATAAGAATCCTAATAGGAAATAAATCCAAATCCTAATCAAATAGGTAATTAACAAAATCTCTCCACCAAGGAAACTAACTAGGAAGTCAAATCCAGACCCAAATAGAACACCAAAACCAAATAGGTAACACAAACCTAATTTATTGTATCATCCTAATTTTGAGCCAAAAACCCAACAATTACACCTTTCAGAAACAAAACCACTGAATAGATGGCTCATCAAGTGATGCGACCATCACATCCTCGCTTTCTTTGACAACAACTTTAATTGGAAGCACTAATAACTAACAACGCTTCGAATGAATGGTGCCATTTTCAGCCCCGAATTTCTTCATCCCACTGCATTTCTTCCCCACTCCCATTCCCAGCCCCCGAAAAAGATCTAAAATAACATTCACTTTACTCAAGCCAAACACCCGTTGAGCCCAATTCTCTTCCCCATAACAGTAACTTCTTTTGTTTATCCAGGAATGGCAGCAGCGAAAGCCCAATAAATTAAAGAACAAATTTATGTGCGCATGCCATGTGACAGTAAATAGTAACAAGACTTTTTGAAGGAACTGGCAAAAGTTTTACACTTTAGATTTCTCAGTTTCGTTTTTTTAACCTTCCCCTTTATATACAACCCTAGTCTTATCATGTCAGAAAGAAAAGGAAAATCTATGTTATCAATGTTTCATCCAGATGTATAGAAGTAACATAATTAAAGCCTAATGAATATAGAATAATTAAGCACATACACCCATTCCACGAAGACGGCTGAACCCAAGTCCTACACCGATGGTCTGACGACGGGGATCAACAAGAGAGTTGTAATGATTTCCATGATGATAACTTAGTCGTAGGGGTGGTGTGTCAGTGTCATAGCTTCCATGGAAAATATTAATCGGTTCTGCATCAAACTCACTTAAGTTAACAAAACATTGCGAATAGAAAATTTCACTGGAAGGAAGATAGAAATCATTATTCAGCTTAAAAACCTGTGCTATAGGAATAAATATGGATGGGCCGATTATACATTTCAGATAAGGCTTGGATCTCAATATTGTTTCCATAGACCTGACATAAGATCAAATTAGTTATTAAACACGTCTGCTGTGGAAAAGACAGGGAACTGTGCAAAAATTCACTGGGTCAATAATTAACAGACATCATATTACCAGTAAGTATAAAACTAAACAAAGGTATTAACATGGTGAAAACTGAAGCCACCAGATCTAAGTTATAACATAAATAACTGAAAGACAAACACTTGAATGGCAACTAAGAAAATAACCATGCTTATTGAGTAGGGGGATGCTGAGAAAGGGTAAAATATGTAGCATGCAATATTGGAGATAAGATCTTTCAAGTTTTATAATTATACCAACTATCTTTGTTAGCAATTAACACATGTGCCTCTATTATTATAATTCACCTAAGTCACCTACCATAAAATTATACGGTCATTGACAATATTCATCAACGTGTCATAATTAAGCAGCTAGACCGTTCCACTCTCTCACAATTAGCAAGCATCACTTCAAGAGGAAACCTAATTACTCTTCAACATGAGATGGTGCAATTGTCATCCGAGAAATCAACAGCCATGCAAGGCAGTTTCCAAGCTGGGTTAGCAAATACTTCTTTTTGGAATGTAAAGCTAGGTTTGAATGCCTTCAGTGAGGGTGCAAAGCTGGGTAAGGCTTTATCCTACAACATTTTCATGACACAACAGAGACTATTAAGTTATAGTTGCTCTGAAAACATAACGAGGTATAGTTCCCTTCCTCCATAGTGCTTTTTAACTTCTTAAGATGTCTATTATCTAATATCAAAGAGTGAGCCTGGAAATAATCAGGTCTTTGAGGAACTAAAAAGAATAACAACTCCTTTAGCAGAGGGCCTTTGAGTGAGAACATGCTCCATCATCATAACCCAGGAATCATTTAATAAAGAAATGTCAAAGCCATCGCTAGTTTTCACTGCCGCAACCAATCTCTCCTAACAGAATTCGAATTTAAAATGTAGTTTGAAATCTGATTCAACCAACACCACCCTAGCAAAAGTTGCACACAACATTACATTCGATGAAAATGGGGTCACATCACCATCAATACGAAGGACCATTGCGATATATTTGCCAATAGGACGCTCATGCTAAATATTTAATATATAAGACAATTTAACTTGCATAGGAAAAGACACTGTGAGGGTTTTTTTTTAAGCTGTACTTTGATTAAACAAAATTATAAGGTTTTCCTTGGGGCATTTTTGTGTCATTTAAACTGATGGTTTTACAAAATTTTTGACATCAAAGAAAGGAAGACTTGATAATCCCCTGAGATTCAGTACAAAAAATGAAACAAATTCTAGATCTCTAAAACACTCAAATGTGAAATCTTTTGGAAAAAAGATTACTTCTGTAAGCATTATAGGTGTAATTTCACCTACCAGTAAAAAGATTTCATCATTTCCCACCGCTATAAAACCACAAGTGTTAGATATAAAGTTAGTAATCTAATGAGTAAAACCGAACCCGTCATTGTACATGAGTTACCCTGCTTCTTTTCCTACATAACTAGTAAGTTTAACATATATGTCTTAATCAAAGACTGCCACACCGAATCCCATTAAGACCAAGCACACAGAATTAAGTTTCCCACTCCCCTTTTATTACCCTTCACTAGACTGTTTTATTTTACAAACATCCAAAATAAAATAAGATAAAAATTAATTGTTAAACAGACCAGAAAAATAAGCCATTTCACCATTTAGAATCAAGCACAGCAAGCGTTGATTCACTTCCAGAACACATAGACACATAAAGAAATACTCACAA